AGGACTGAAAAAAAACACACACCCACAAACAAACAAACAAAACAAACACCTTGCCTCTAGAATAACCTACCCTCCCACTAGCCTTCCTGAGAAAAATAGCCCCTCTCACATATCAGCCAAATGACTAATAAATTATATACCCAGGCTTCCACATTCCTGTAGATTGTTAGCATTCCCCTCCTGGCGCAGACTATCCATCCAAACAGCACAAGATATGTTCGAGCTCATTACAGACCTCTGGCTCCAGGGCAATTTACAGCATTTCTCTTCAGATCACATCTGTTTACATGATAGTGCTTCTGAACCGCGCAGATCTCTCATATCCCTAAAATGGTGTCCCTACTTGCCCTAGACCAGTGGTTCTCAACCTGTGGGTCGCGACCCCTTTGGGGGTCGAATGACCCTTTCACAGGAGTTGCCTAAGACCATCGGAAAACACATATATAATTATATATTGTTTTTGTGATTAATCAGTAACAATGAAAATACATCCTGCATATCAGATATTTACATTATGATTCATAACAGTAGCAAAATTACAGTTATGAAGTAGCAACGAAAATAATTTCATGGTTGAGGCTCACCACAACATGAGGAACTGTATTAAAGGGTCGCGGCATTAGGAAGGTTGAGAACCACTGTGCTAGGAGGAACAAAGGATGGACCGGACCCTTACATCAGCAGAGTGGCTTGCAGCCAGCAAGAATTAATAAAAACCTATCACTCCCTATCTGGGCTTTGAAGTCTGTCCCATGGGGTTATGTGTCTGTTTTTATGCCAGTAATATACTGTTTTTATTAGTATAGCTTTGTAGTATACTTTGAAATCAGAAGTGTGATGCTCCTTTTGTGATTTCATATACATTTTAGGATTTCTTTGTGATGAAATTTTTAGGGTTCTCTTTATACAGTATTTGCGTGAAACACATCATTGGAATTTTGATAGGGATTGCATTTAATCTATAGATGCCTTTGGGTGGTATGGAGAGTTTAACAAGATTAACTCTTTCAATTGATGAGCATGGGGTATATTTGTGTCTTCAGTTTCTTTCATCAAAGTCTTGTAGTTTCCAGTGTACAGATACTTTACCTCATTGGTTAAATTAATTCCTAAGTATTATATTGTTGATGCTATTGTGATGGGCCTATTTTATTTTATTTTCAGATGTGTCATTGTTAGTGTATAAAAAAATTGATTTCTGTAAGTTGATTTTGTAACCTGCAACTTTACTGAATTTGTTGATTAGTTCTGACAGCTTTATGAGGATCTCTAGGATTTTCAATATATCCTATCATTTTCTAACAAAGACAATTTTTCTTCTTCCTTTTCAATTGGGATGACTTTTATTTCTTTTTCTTGCCTGATTTCTCTGGCTAGGACTTCCAGTATTATAATCATAGTGGGAAAAGTTGGCATCCTTATCTTGTTCTTAATATTGGAAAAAAAGCTTTCAACCTTTCACCATTGGGTCTGATGTTAGCTGTGAGCTTGTCATATGTGGCCTTTATACTGTTATGTTTCTTTTATACCAAATTTTTTGAGCATTTTTATCATGAAAAGATGGTGTATTTTGTCTAATTTCCCCCCCCTGAATCTATTGAGATGATAAAATCACACTTATCTTTTACCCAACTAACGGGGTGTCTGTGTATCATGTTAATTGAGTTTTGTGTGCTGAACCACCCTTGCCTCACAGGGATAAATCCCACTTGGTGGTGATGTAGGATCCTTTTAATATGCTGTTGAATTTGGTTTGTTAATATTTTGTTCAGAATTTTAAAATCTATATTCATCAGGAATATTAATCTATAGTTCTATTTTTTGAGCCTCAGAAAGGCTGCAGATGACTTGCCTATGTTTATGCCATTAGCATCTCTTCAGAGCTTAGATTTGAATGGAGGCCTGAGATCAAAGCTTGTGAACTTGTCCTCCACTCTGGACCATATAAATTTTTGACGGTGTCCTCCTCAAGGCTGCCCCTCTGTGCACTTGGGTTTACTGTCCAGAGAGAAACACTGTTGTTCCATTTGAAAGAACCTGACCTCATACTTCTAGGAAATAGCCTCTGAATCTCAAAACACCCTGAGGGCTGGGGAGAGACATGGTGACCACTCATTAGGATGCACCTCATTGCTCTGGAGCAAACTCTTTCTCACCACCCCAACCGCTCATCCAGTCCTGGTCTTGCACTTCCCTTCCCCCAGGAGAAAAGGCCTCTTTGTATGGTCCAGACAGTCATTTAAAGAGTGAAACCACATTGTAAGTAAAGAGCAAGTGGCTGCTGGGATCCAGTTCCTCCTGGCCAGCTCTTGCCTTTGGCATTTCTTGACTTGAAGTCGAACCTATGAAGGGCCTCCATGTTTGAGCCACCAGTCCTGATGGGCATGGGACAGAGTCAAAGATTTCCCACCCTGTCAGCAGCATGTGCTATGCTCTAGCCACACCTACAGGACACATATACTCAGTGTCAGGTGGCCGCCAACCACCAACTAGACCTGGAACCCGGAGCTCAGGCACCATCCCTTGAACATGATTCTCTCCAACAAACGCTCGCCTCCTCACCTTGCTTGGGTGAGGCTTCTGCCTTGAGCCCCACAACAAAGTTTGAGTCATCGCCCCTGTAACACTCTGGATCCATGGTCCCCACCCCCCCACTATTTCCTAACACACCCAGTCAAGACCTTATTCTGACGCTCCATCCACTGCTGTATATATTTTGTCTGCTTTGCTCCTTTGGGTCCAGCTCCCTAAGACTGGAGATGCTTTCTGCCCCCGCGCCCAGGTGAGGTCTGCTGCCTGGAGGTGATGTGACGCTGGAGATCAGTGACCAGCCTGGTTAGTTTCCCTTAACCTGCCTCCCAGCCCTGCCTCATCCTGCTCTAAGGTGACAGGGCTCTTCAAACAGTACCTGCTTCACCTATAACACCCTGTCAGTCCTTGCCTATCACTATGTTTCTTCAATCATCTGTACCACTTCTTGCTTCTAAAGGCCCAATCCTTTGCATAACTAATTTCAGAGAAAATTTAACCCGAGGTGGTAACTCTCACATGCTAAAGCATGTGATAAATTATTGACTTTCACAATGGATTTATGAAATTAGAGGCTGAACCTTTTTCCCCTCTTAAACACAAAATGATTGAATTTTCATTTTCTGTAGAGGAAGAGAAAATCTGGATTAAAGACCCTGTTCTGACTCCCGGGTTCCTGGCGTTCATCATTCGGCTTGTACTACTAATGGGCTGTGAGGTCTGTGTGCCTGGGGGTGTCTGCATGCATTCAAACTCGCAGATAGAATGATCCTGGAGATATCTGTAAAGCAGCTTGGGAAGAGCTGCAGGACTCACTTAAGGGAAAAGCTGAAACAGAGGTGGCCTAAGTGGACCTCAGAGGTGCTGGGTGGTGGGCGGGGAAATCGTTTTACCAACGTTGGCAGCAATTCACCCTCTTTCCGGGCCAGAAAGATGATGACTGTTGGCATGAGACAACAGCTTATTGCTGTTTTCCTCAAAGAATAAAAAGCCAGTGGCCATAGTGTGGACAGGACAAAATTTGAAGGATATTAGTAAGGGATCTGATTGATTTGATTTGATTTTTAAGGAATGCGAATTCCTCTAAGCAAGAAGTAGGCACATTAATTATTTATGGGGTTCTATGAGATCTTATTTGCAGAGCAGGAACATGAGCATGGGAAAAAAAGATGTTTTATCCTACCTTAGCCAGAAACTCATATGGCTTAATTTGTGGTTTGGGTAGGTATTTGAAATGCAAGGTCAAAGGATATCACAGGGAAGAAATCTCTGCTTATATTGGTCACTTGCTCTAAATTCTGCCCTAAGAAATATGAACTTAATTTCCCACCATAACAGTAGTGACTATGTATGTGTCCCTCCTCAAGGACATTTGGCAAATGTCTGAGTGAATTTCTGATAGTTAATGTAACTATGTCATTATTGGTTAATTCTGAATTGTTTACATCTGGGTTATTCACTTGTGATCAATGTACAAACACTTCTTTTTAACCTCAGCACAGTCTGATTAAATCAGCGGTTCTCAACCTGTGGGTGGCGACCCCTTTGGCGGTCGAATGACCCTTTCACAGGGGTCGCCTAAGACCATCCTGCATATCAAATATTTACATTACGATTCATAACAGTAGCAGCATTACAGTTATGAAGTAGCAACGAAAATAATTTTATGGTTGGGTCACAACATGAGGAACTGTATGTAAAGGGCCAGAAGGTTGAGAACCACTGGGTTAAATGGAGAAAAGCCAAGGCCTGAGGATGAGAAGATTGTAAAGGAGCTCACACAGTCCTTCCCATGCAGAGAACGATCAGTAAAGGCTAGTTGTTGTGATTATTACTGATACGTTCCCACTAGACATACAACTTTAGGCAAAGCCACTGCATTCTCTTATATATAAAAGTGGGTTGTCTATATTATGGATGATGGCAATAATAAATGATAAAGGGAATTAAAAATGCTTTGAGCCCTGGCCGGTGTGGCCCAGTTGGTTGTCTGACACACCAAATGGTGGCGGGTTCTGTTCCTGGTCAGGGTACTTGCGGGAGGCAACTGATCGATGTTTCTCTCACATCGATGTTTCTCTTCCTCTCTCTCAAATCAATAAAAAATGTTTTGAAAAATTAAATATGACAACTTAAGACATGGTCACTTCCCTTATCTCCCAACAAGCTTCTGGAACTGTCTCCTCATTGGCTGGTGCCTGGCCCTGGGACACAAAGTGGTTTTATTATTCCCTGAAAGAGGTAGAATACAGCCAGGAAAATCCACTGTGCATGGGGGATATAATCTAAAGGAAGCTGAATACAGGAGGGCTCTGGCTTCCTCCAGTCTGGGTGTTTGATATCACAGTCTGGCCGCCAGCAACGTGGATAACTGCCCGTGGGCTCTGTCTGGTCCTTCATCTCCCTGAGGAGCCGGCTGCTGTAGAAAGGACTTCCACGTCGGGCTCAGGAAGCAGCAGCGTCGGGGTTACCTGTAGGTTGTATCAACACTCAGGTTGGCTGCAGCCAGCTCTGACGGAGGTATCCAGGCAGGTAACGTGTTCCCAGCGACCCATTTTGTCCACTCAAATAAGCCAGGCTCCACACGGATCTTCAAGTGATTTTCTTGTTGTAAACCTTGAGGTAAAATAAAATGAAGGTGAAGGAAATGCCACTATGTTCTCAGAGAAAAAGCAAAGGGAGGACAAATTGTTATAAAAATTCTGGTCAACCTTCCATTCTCTTTTCAACCAGATACTATTATAGAGCAAAATAAAGTGGACGCATATGGGTTTGGACAAGGTGTTTAATTTCTGGAGTTACAAATGTATGAGTTGAATACTGGGCCACTCCACCAGAATGGACATACGCTAGTTTGTGGTGGCATGTGGTTTAGAAAAAAAACACAAGTCATTATCCCCATAACTTACACAGTTCTATGACTACTATGATTCCTTTTCATAAGTAAGTGCCCAGACTGTCTTATGAAGAAACTTCAGAGATTCTCTTAGCATCCACTAGCCTACAGTAGCTTTCACTTTATTTGAATATCATGTAAATTCACTTTCTCTACCAGAGTACCCAATGTTGAATATTTACAATGCCAGCACACAAGGTCGTGTTTCATTGCTGTGTAATTACCCTCAGAGTGGGAATTGGCCCCTATTAACTCTTTATATTGCCTTAAGCCAAGTTTGGTTTACTTAAGACTAATGAGTAGGAGTCTAACACAGTGTAAATTACTTGTAGGCACAGCTATTTCTGGCTCGTTCCTTTGTTTGGTGTAAGTAAACAGCCCCACGTGGTTTCTTCTAATTTTCTTTCCAGTGAAATGAGAATGGCCATCCCTGGAACTCAAGCTCCTAGGATTTCAGGGTGAACACTGAGCACCTGTATAGCAATGGTGCTTTTACATGCCAGTGAAGAAACCAGATGACTGAGGTTTGCAGGCACCAGGAGCACTGCTCCTGGGAGCAGGAGGAATAGCTCCGTGGGGGAGTGGCCCCGTTCAGGGCGCTGCAGGCTCTAAGCAATTGCCAGACGACAATACTTTACACACCTGCCGTTCGCCCAAGAAAAACATTTTCAAAAAAATTACTTGTATCCATCCTTTCATCACACTTTATGCTGGCAGCACATGGTTTGGGGACTTTTATAGAGACATCTTCCAAAAGAATCATCGCTAAGAATTCCAAATTTGAAGCTTTGACGTGGCTAATATCCCATGAGTTTAGGAATCTGCCTGGAGACAGAGGGATGGACTAGTTGACCTTTACCAAGTCTTACCTTTCAAGATGTTGTGTGCAGTCTGAACACAGCGCAGGGATGGGGAACAATAGACATGGTCGATTATGGTGTTACTTTCCAATAAGGCTTCACCTGCAAAGAAAACCAAAGGAGAATCAATCTGATGGACTCAGCCTCCATGTGGGCAAGGGGCAGGGGACCTGCTGACCTTGCCTTTTCTGGGAGGGATTACTTACAGCCAGCAGTTTCTGCCTTTTTATTTTGTTTGTTTCCAACAAATCCTTTGCTAGAGAGAGATTTATTTCTAGGCAAAGAAGCCAAAAGACTCCTTTTCGTCTTTTTCTTTCCTTCTCTCTGCTGCTACCAAGTGACAAAGTGTCCATCTAGGACAGTGATGGCGAACCTATGACACGCATGTCAGAGGTGACACGCGAACTCATTTTTTGGTTGATTTTTCTTTTTAAAATGGCACTTAAATATATAAAATAAATATCAAAATATAAATCTTTGTTTTACTATGGTTGCAAATATCAAAAAATTTCTTAACCAGAGTTAAGTTAGGTTTTTCAAAATGCTGACAAGCCGAGCTCAAAAGGTTTGCCATCGCTGATCTAGGAGATCTAGAAGCATGATAATGCTCTGATTTCAAGTTTGTCCTAAAAGTAGGAGGGTTTATATTCTCAAAATCGGGTCTTGATTTAATTTTATGCTAAACATATTCTTGGTCATATTCTTGGACACCGGAGGTAAAGCTCAACACCCAAAACTTCAACATTGTCTCCTGGAACCTGCTGCTTCCCTCCACTGGATAAAGTCCAAACTCCCTCACAGTGGTCAAGGTCTTCCCTGGACTGGTCTTTATTCATCACTGACTTCCTGTTGCTCTTCCCATGGGGATGCCCTTCCCTCCCTCCTTCTCCTTCTCTATCCAGCTGGCTTTGACTCGTGTCTCTGACTTCCTGTTGCTCTTCCCATGGGGATGCCCTTCCCTCCCTCCTTCTCCTTCTCTATCCAGCTGGCTTTGACTCAGATCGCAGCTTACCTCTCTTCCCCCCTTTTTGCCCTCATAATTCTTTTTCTTTTGATTAGAAGGTTGAAATCAATGTAGTCTTTTTAAATTTTGTTTTTCAATGACAGTTTCCATTCAATGTTATTTTGTATTAGTTTCAGGTGTACAGCATAGTGGTTAGACAGTCATATTTGCAAGACGTCCCTCCTGACATTTTCTGTACCCACCCAGCACCGTACATAGTTATTACAATACTAGAGGCCCAGTGCACAGATACGTGCACATTGAAAGGAAATTAAATAGAAGGTGGCCAGCAGGGAGGGACTGGGCGAGAGGGCTGGGCATGCCCTGGAGTCAACCTCCCGCAGTCCCTCTCCGGCCAGCTGCACCTGGGGCGACACTGGGGCTCAAAGGGCATCTGTGGAGTGAGCGGGGCCCCTCTGGAAAGTGGGGTCCCTCAGCCTGGCCTGTGGGGATCGGGCCAAATCCAGCTCTCTGACATCCCCCAAGGGGTCCCGGAGTGCCAGAGGGCGGTTCTTGGGTGATGCACCCTGGAATCGGGCTCCTTCCTCTCTGGTTCCGGGTGTGTCACCCAAGAACCACAGCTGCCAAGTCACCGCAGGTTGGCAGCTCCTGTGTTGAGTGTCTGCCCCCTGTTGGTCACTTTGCATCACAGCTACCGATCGGATGGTCGCTTAGGCTTTTTTAATATAGATTATTGATTGTATTCCCTGTGCAGTAATGTATATCCTCACAACTGCTTTGTAACTACCAATTTGTACTTCTTAATCCCTTCTGTAGAGAGTGCCTGGGAGAGCACCTGAGCAAAGGTTGTCAGCTGAATCTAGCAGCGAAGGCAGAACCATGTCCGGGAAACATACCTCGCCAAAGGCAGGAATGTTGTCAGTCCTGACCTTTAGCTCAGGCACCAGGGGGTGGGTGCCATTATCTGGTTCACTCAGGCGCTGAGGCAGATGCAATTATCTGGGTCCAGGCCTGACAATTATGAGAAGCCACAAGAATGAAGAATGCAGCCTGATCTTTAAAGCATGATTTCACATAATTTCCTTTGTCTTAAACTCTAGTAAAACTTCCTGGTATCAAGCTGTATATAATAAATGTGCTGCACTAGCTCTGAGTCACTGTCTCTCTATCTGAGAACAGTGTCCCACCTGGTCCCAGCTTTGCTTACTGTCTCTGTGTCTGTCTCTTTCTTTTTCTCAATCCCCAATCACCCCTACTCAGGTCTCATTCACTCTCTAGCCATGCTGGTCACGGCTAACCCCACATCCTTCACCTTTCTACTCAGTCCCCTCAACCTACCTCTTCCCTGACAACTAGCAATCTGTTCTCCGTATCAATGAATCTGTTTCTATATTGCTTGTTCATTTATCCTGTTCTGTATTTGTCTTTTTCTGACTGACTTTTTCACTTAGCATAATACCCTCTAGGTCCAAATGGTGAGATTCCTTTTTTTTCTTTATGGCCGAGTCATATTCCATTATATATATGTACCACCTCTTCTTTAGCCACTTGTCCTTTGATGGATGCTGGGTTGCTTCCATATCTTGGCTATTGTAAATAATGCTGCAATGAACACAGTGGTGTTTATATTCTTTTAAATTAGTGTTTTGGGTTTTTTTTTGGGGGGGGGTTGTTTTTGTTTTTTTATATATGCCCAGAAGTGGAATTGTTAGGTCATAGAGCAGTTTCATTTTTAATTTTTTGAGGTAACTTCATACTGTTTTCCAAAGTGGCTGCACCAATCTTCATTCCCACCAACAGTGCATGAGGGTTCCCTTTTCTCCACATCCTCACCAACTCTTGTTGTTTGTTGATTTATTGATGATAGCCATTTTGGTTTTAATTTGCATTTCTCTGATGAGTGACATTGAGCATCTTTTCATATGTCTATTGGGCATCTGCATGTCCTCTTTTTAGAAGTGGTCTATTTCAGGTCCCAGCCATATTTATTTTTTTATCTTCACCTGAGGATATGGTTTTTATTGATTTTAGAGAGAGAGGAAGAGAGAGAAAGAGGGAAACATCAATGTGAGAGAGAAACATCAATTGGTTGCCACCCATACAAGACCAGACGAGGGATCAAACCTGCAACCCTATGGAGTCTGGGATAACACTCCAACCAACTGAACAACCAGGTCAGGGCATCCTCTGCCCTTTTTTTTTTTGCAGCCAAGAAAGTAAGGATTTATTATGGAAATGGCCCCATGCCAGAGTCATGGGAAAGGGTATGACTCATGCTCAAAGACCTGGCTCCTGATGGCTTCCAGGAGATGGATTATATAGCTCTGCCCATTTTTTAATCAGGTTTTCTTTTTCAGTGTTGAGTTGTATGAATTCTTTATAAATTTTGGTATATTAACCCCTTACCTGATGTATCACTGGCAAATATCTTTTCCCATTAAGTAGGTTGTCTTTTTGTGTGTTTTGTTTGTTTGTTTGTTTTGTTTTAAATATATTTTATTGGTTTTTTACAGAGAGGAAGGGAGAGGGATAGAGAGTTAGAAACATTGATGATGAGAGAGAAACATCGATCAGCTGCCTCCTGCACACCCCTCACTGGGGATGTGCCCGCAACCAAGGTACATACCCTTGACTGGAATCGAACCTGGGACTCTTCAGTCTGCAGGTTGATGCTCTATCCACTGAGCCAAAATGGTTAGAGCACTTGTCTTTTTGTTTTGTTGATGGTTTCCTTTGCTGTGCGAAAACTTTTGGGTTTGATGTAGTACCATTTGTTTAGTTTTTCTTTTGCTTCTCTTGCCCAAGGAGACATATCAGAAAAATATATTGCTAAGAGAAATATCAGAGATTCTACTTCCTTAGTTTCCCTTTCTGATAGTTCCCTTTATGGCAGTTCTTCTAAAACCTTTATGGTAGCCAGGCTTAAGTCTTTAATCCATTTTGAGTTTATTCTTGCATATGGGGTAAGAAGATGGTCTAGTTTCATTTTATTTTTTATGTATCTGTCCAATTTTCCAAAGCCACTTATTGACTGTCTTAACTCATTTGCATGTTCTAGCTTCCTTTGTCAAATATTAATTGAACACATAGGTATGGGTTTATTTCTGGGTTCTGCATTCTCTGTGGTTCATTGATCTATATATATATGTCTGTCTTTATGCCAACACTATGCTGTTTTGATTACTATAGACTAGTATTATGTAGTGTGATACCTCCAAGTTTGTGCCTCTTTCTCAAGATTGCTGTGGCTAGTTGGGGTCTTCTGTGGTTCCACATAATTTTTTTAAAAATATATTTTATTGATTTTTTACAGAGAAGAAGGGAGAGGGATAGAGAGTTAGAAACATCGATGAGAGATCAATCAGCTGCCTCCTGCACACTCCCCACTGGGGATGTGCCGCAACCAGGGTACATGCCCTTGACCGGAATCGAACCCGGGACCCTTGAGTCCGCAGGCTGACGCTCTATCCACTGAGCCAAACCGGTTCGGCTCCACATAATTTTTTTGATTATTTGTTCTAGTTCTGGGAAAAATGCCATTGATATTTTGATAGAAATTGCATTGAATCTATAGATTGCTCTGGGTAGCAAGGACATTTAAATTATGTTAATTTTTCCTATCCATGAGCATGGTATATACTTCCATTTATATCTTCTTCAATTTCTTTCTTCAGTCTTATAAAATTCTGAGTATAAGTCTTTAACTCCTTGGTTAAATTTATTCCTAGGTAGTTTGTTTGTATGAGGCCATTGTAAATGCAATTATTATCTTAGTTTTCCTTTCTGAGAGTTTATTATTAGTGTATAAAAATGAAACCGAGTTCTGAATATTGATTTTGAATCCTGCTATTTTGCCAAATTTATTTTCAATCTGAAGTGGGTCTCTTATGGACAGCATATACATATCTTGTTTTCTTATCCATTCAGCTGCCCTGTATCTTTTGATTGAAGCATTAAATCTATTTACATTTTAAGTGATTGTTGATAGGTATGTATTTATTGCCATTTTATTATTCACTAGAGGCCCGGTGCACGAACTCGCACACTGGTGGGGTCCCTTGGCGTGGCCCACGGGGGTTGGGCCAAAACCGGCTGTCCAACGCCACCTGCCGCTCCTGCCTGCAGGGGCTCACACCAGTCAGTCCTGATCGGGAGAGGCTTGCACCGCCGCAGCAGCGCTCGCCAGCCAGCCATGAGCCCTGCATCTGGTGCCCGTCTTGAGGGGGCTGGGCCCGGAGCCTGGGAGGCGATTGGCCATCCTGGCAGTAGGGGGGATGCCCTTGCTGGCCCAGGATCTGGATCCATTCTGCTGATGTTCGTGTCAGTTGTCAGGAGCCACTTGGCAGCCACTTTTATATTGTTTCTTCCTTGCAGAGTGTCTAGGGAGGGGAAGCAGCCATGGTGCCCAAGGCCAATTTCCAGGAGGCCAGTGGTGCTGTTGGGATCATGCTGGCGGTACCAGTCCGGCGGTGCCAGTCTGGTGGTGCTGGTCTGTTGGGGCCTGGCCCGTTCTCCAGAGATTGGACCTGCAGGACTACTGAGGGAGTAAATGGCTGCCACTGGGCTGGTGGGCTGCCAGGATGGGTCAATCAGCTGAGCGGCACTCCCACTGTGGGAGCACGCTGACCACCAGGGGGCAGCTCCTGCATTGAGCATGTGGAAGGATGTCTGGTCTAATGAGCATATTACGCTTTTATTATTATATAGTAGAGGCCTGGTACATGAAAATTCGTGTACTCAGGGAGGGGGGGGGGTCCCTCAGTCTGGCCTGTACCCTCTCGAAGTCCAGGGAGATGTCCACCTCCCAGCTTAGGCCTGCTCCCCAGGAGATTGGGCCTAAGCTGACAGTCAAACATCCCTCTGGCAGCCAGGGAGCCCTTGGGGGATGTCCAACTCCCGCCACCGACGCTGAGCTTGCAGCGTCAGCCTGGCTTGTGGCTGAATGGATCTCCCCCTGTGGGAGCACACTGACCACCAGGGGGCAGCTTCTACATTGAGCATCTGCCCCTTGGTGGTCAGTGCACGGCATAGCAACTGGTCATTCTGCCCTTAGGGTCAACTTGCATATTACCCTTTTATTATATAGGATAGATATGTATGTTCCTCTGTTTTTTCTTTCTTCTTAAAGAAGTCCCTTTAACATTGCTTGTAATAGTGGTTTGGTGGTGATGAACTCTGTTACCTTTTCTTGTCTGGGAAGCTCTTTTTTTTCTCGTTCAGTTTTAAATGGGAGCCTTGCTAGGTAGAGAACTCTTGGTTGTATATAGGTCCTTGCTTTTTATCACTTCAAATACTTTGTGCAAATTTTCTGTTGAGAAATCAGCTCATAGTCTCATGAGAGCTCCCTTGTAGGTAACTAGCGTTTTCTCTTGCTGCTTTTAAAATTATCTCTTTAACCTTTGGCATTTTAATTATGATGTGTCTTGGTGTGGGCCTCTTTAGGTTCATCTTGTTTGGGACTCTCTGCGCTTCCTGAACTTGTGTCTTTTTCCTTCACCAGGTGAGGGAAATTTTCAGTCATTTTTCAAGGAAGTTCTCAATCGCTTGCTATCTCTTTCTCCTGATGGTACCCCTACGATGCAGATGCTTTAAACTTCATGTTGCCCCAGAGGTCCCTTAAGCTATCCTCATTTTTTAAAATTCCTTTTTGATTTTGCTGCTCTCATTGGGGTGTTTTCTGCTACCTTGTCTTTGAAATTGCTGAGCAGATCCCCACTTCATCTAACCTGTTGTTCATTCCTTCTGGTATATTCTTCATTTCAGATATTTTATTCTTCATTTCTGACTGGTTCTTTTTCATGTTTTTTATGCTTACTATGTACTTGTTATAGTTCTCATTAAGTTAATCCATTTCCCCCCAAGTTCCTTGAGCATCCTTATGACCAGTGTTTTGAACTCTGTTTCTGGTAGGTTGTCTCTAATTCATTTTTTTTCCTGTGGATTTCTCCTGTTCTTTAATTGGGGTATGCTTCTTTGTCTCCCCATTTTGAGTGCCTCTCTGTATTTGTTTCTGTGTATTGGGTAGATCTGCTATGTCTCCCAGTCTAGGTAGTAGGTTCTATGGGGCTCAGTCCAGGAATGTCCCTTGTGTGGATTATGTTAGCCCTGCTGTTATAGTTGAGTCTATTGTTTTTGGCCCCTGTGTGGGTGAGGTTGACCCTCAGGGTGGCTGCCTGTGAGAACTGACCCCAACCACACTGTACTAACTGCTGCGTGGAGGCTGACCACTTGAAGCGGGATTTGCCTCCATGGGGTCTGGTGCCTGCTGAGATCTCCCTTTGGGTGTGTGGCTTGTGGAGCTAATTGGGTTGTGCTTTGACGTGGTCTGAATCCCGAAGGGTGTGTTGGTTCTGGGGCCTCTTGGGAGAGTCTCCAGTGCAGATCAATGTCAGAAGCTGCCTGTGACTGGCCCTGGGCTGCCTGTGAGGAGCTGCAAAGCCATCCATGTTTTGTGGTTGTCTCTATTGTGCCTGGGTGAGTGTGGAATCAGCAAAGCTGTGCCCCAAGGCCGGCTTCCGCCAAGCCCTGGGGACAGGTTAGTCAAAGGCCCAAGGCACCCCAAGACTTTCCTCCACCTGCCTTAGCCTGCTGCTTGCTGTTAGGCTCAGGAACTGAACGAGTTTCTGGTGATACGAGATTTGCGTGAGGTAGGTTCTCAGTGAGTCAACAGGTCAATGCAAGAGCTGCTCATCAGGCTGATATAGGTTCAAGTGCACATTAGTGCTGCGTCAGAAGCCACTCAGCAAAAGTTTGAGGGCTCACCAAAGCTAGCTGCCACCTGCTGTGTGCTTGTTGACCTTCTTTGGGGGTGTATTCTCAGGGATGGAGGGTGAGGCCAGCAGAGTTCCTCAGGCCCAAAGAAACCAGGATTTGGCCATGTGAAGGGAGGCCCTGCACAGGAACGGTGGTGCCAGGGTGTGTGTGAGGGAAAAATGGCCCATGCCATAGAGCCACACGCCTCAGTCTCCCCCCGAGCTGTGCGGACCCTCAGAGCCGTCCAAGGAGTGTGCACTGAGGCCTCGGCTGGCATGAGCTTGGTAGGGCCAGGCAATGGGGAGTCGGGAGGGCGGGACTATTGCATTCCCAGGGTGATGCTCTATGGAGGGCATCAATCCAGGAATGATGGTGTTTGTGCGCAGTGTTGGAGAGGGACTCAGCACATGGACCCTGGTAGCTGTCCCTTCAGCTCTCTCTTGGCAGCCACACATGATTCCATATTTGCTCCAAGCCGCCTTCTTCTGTGGGAGCCCAGGGTAACTGGCTGCAAATGATATTTTGTGTGTTTGGCCCTTTAAGAGGGCACCTGGGTTTCTTAGGAGACTCCTGCCTCTTCTTAGCAGACAGAATCCTTGCTGATTTTTACAGCCAGGTATTATGTGGGCTCCTCTTCCCGGCTCTGGTGCTCTGGGCTGGGGAGCCGGGCTGCCTGTGCAGCTGGGATAGCCGCCCTCTGGGAGCAGGGCCAGCCCTTTGCCTGTCTCTGCCCTTCCTACCGTGTCAGGGCCAGCCCTTTGCCTGTCTCTGCCCTTCCTACTGTGTCAATGCGGCTTCTTCTGTAAGTCCTTGGTTATAAGACTTCCATTCAACTTGTCTTCGGTTGGTCATTCAGGTTTATTGTTCTACAATTTAGTTGTGATTCCAGTTTGATCCTGGGAGGAGGTGAGTGTAACTTGCACCTACTCCACTGCCATCTTGGGTCCCCCGCCTCCCCCGTGCTCCCATAATTCTGTGCACACCGTTTTATTTTTGGATGCTACATTGTGAGGCATTTATGTACTTACAAGTGTTTCCCTGAGGGTGGGGACTCCTGCTTGGATCCTCAGCACCTGGCACTACCTTGCACAAAGAGTGAGCATCAGCACAAGTGAGGTCACTGGCTAGGACAAGGCTGCTGTCTGTGTGGCAGGCTCTCTGCAAGGAACTGAGCATCTTCAAAGGATCAACTGGCCGCTGTACTTCCAGCCCCCCTCCCCCAAGGTTCCCTGCTCCTCACCCTTGTGCTAGAAGCTGGCCTCTCTGCCACACCAGGCATGACCTTGCCCATCATTGGTCCATACACCCTCAATAGGAATCACACCTTGTTCACTTCAGTAAAGTGCCCGGTGCCAGTGCAGTGTCCTAAACTTAATGGTTACATAAGAAATTCCTTGAGGAGCGCTAGCTGGTGTGGTTCAGTGGATAGAACAGACTGAAGTGTCCCGGGTTCGATTCTGGTCAAGGACACATGCCTGGGTTGTGGGCTCGATCCACAGTGGGTGCCATGCAGGAGGCAGCCGATCAATGAGTCTCTCTCATTATTGATGTCTCTATCTCTCTCTCCCTCTCCTTTCCTCTCTAAAATCAATAAAAATATGTTTTAAAAAAAGAAGAAATTCTTTGAGGAAATTTACTATCTGTAGAAAAGTTAGTTATAGAATCTCCCAGGAAGTGTCCTGGCATGCCCACTGGAACCAGAATCCTGAACATGTGGCCAAGCCAGCTGTGCAATTACTCCAGGATACTCACCCACTAGTCTTGCTTGCATACACCCAAACACAGTGATTGGAGCATCTTTCTCGTAATCCCGGAAACCACCGCTCCGCTGAGGTAAGCTATGAGGCATGTTCAGGTTGGTGCGAATGTAGCGGCCTAGAAAAAAGTCGTACAAGGCTACGTGAGTTTCTTGTTTCCTTAGGATTTTCATTGCTGATCCTGACAGCCTCTCTATTTCCATTCCTTTTTGGCCAAAGAGACTACATGGAGCTTTCTAGAAAATATCAAGGCCGACACTTTTCCTTTGTGAGAATGTCTGGGAATCCACTCCTCTATTCTGCTGACAAAGGTGACAAGAAGTGAAAGTCGTCACCAGACAGCCTTCAGCAGGGGCTGATCTGAACTGTAAGCCTCGCGTGTGAAACAGGCCCCTCCAAGGAACATGGAACCAGCGTGAGTCGGCGAATGGGGGGGCTCCGGCCATGGAGTCGGGATGCCCCTTCCTGCCTCTGACTTGGCCATGTGACCGTGAGCAAAACACCTGCCTTTGGCCCTGGTGTCCCAGTTTACAGACTGGAGACAAGAACACTTACCTGTCCCCTAACACTCAAGACAACCAAGGAAGGGCTATGACTGAAACACATTGCAGGCTTTTCTACAGCCCACTTAGCCAGAAACGAGCACTCCATCTAGATCAGCGGTTCTCAACCTTCCCAATGCCGCAACCCTTTAATACAGTTCCTCATGTTGTGGTGACCCCCAATTTCATTGTTACAAATTGAACATAATTAAAGCACAGTGATTAATCACAAAAACAATATGTAATTATATATGTGTTTTCCGATGGTCTTAGGCGACCCCTGTGAAAGGGTCGTTTGACCCCCAAAGGGTTGAGAACCGCTGATCTAGATAAAGGTAGCTTGACTGTGCCCTCTAGAGGCCACGATAGGCATAGCAATGCTGAAGAGGACAAACAGCTCCTCACCTTTGGCATCAAAGCACTGGGATAGCCAGTACTTCCCAAAGACGACGTCCATCCTCTCGCCGTGCCGACACACGAAGAGGCATCTCTTCTGGGGGCCAGGCTGGCTGCTGGCCCTCAGAGGCTGCAGGTGAGGAACAGCTGTTAGTGGAGAGAAGACAGTGGACAGGCCCGGGCCAGGCGCAGGCCAGCTGAGCTCCAGAGCGGGTTCTGCGAATGTATGACTTGGCCTGTCCTCCTGCAGACCTCACAGGTTATTCTGAGGCTCAAATGCGATGAACTGCAGTGCTTTGCGAAATCAGAAGGGTTAGAAAATGGCCTTATCAGTGCGACTGCCATGGTCAGTAGGAGCAGTAACTGCTCAGAGGTGAAACTAGCTGGCACGTAGAGAAAGCCACTGTTGGGACGGCGTCCTCCCCTCTGCAAAGGCCTCTTCAGCTCCCTCAGGGAGTGAGGACGCTCATTACCACAAACACGTCTGCCTCACCTCTATGTGCCTGGTGTCAGACCACATGGTCCCGTGGTCTCCTCCAACAGTGAGGGCCTGCCTTCCTGCTCTAACCATGTTTAGGCTCTATTGTCCAACTCATACATGTTGGTGCTCCCGGAAATGGTTCTACGTCAGGTGATGAAACAGGGCCTGGTCAAAGGCATGTCCAGATGACGTTGGTTCCTACAACTGCTGGGTGGGTCATGGTAGATGTCCCTCCATGCCTTCTTTCTGAGCGATTCCCCGTTTCCCTAGGGCTACAGGCGTCACGCTGGCCAGCATTTACCTTGGTGCCCAAGGAGGAAGTTAATATGTGGGGGTGGCATGCCTTCCCCATATCTTCCCTTCCTGTTTTCTAATTCAAGCCCTGGGCTCTAGCCAAGGTGATCTAGTCTCTTGATCCTCAACATGTCTGAACTTTCAACTTGCTTTTGTATTGTTCAAACTACTCTCCCAACTCTTCATTCTGCAAACTTTCTGACATATACCAAGCGCTCCAATGTACACTGAACACTCACTGTGCACCAGGTACTGTGCTAACAGCCTTCTTCTTGCCTTTAATATTTTTCATTAAAGTATAGTTGACATATAATAGTTTCAGGTGTACAGCATAGCGATTTGACACTTATATACCTTATGGTGTATAAGTAACCATCTGTCACCATACAGAGTTATGATATTAATCACTATATTCTCTGTGCTTCCTATTACATCTCCATAACTTACCTATTTTATAACTGGATTTTGCACCTCTAACTGCTCTTCACCGACTCCCCGCCCTGTTTCCTCTCATCCTCACCACGGCCTACGACACAGATACAACGATTGCTGCTGCACGTGCTGACGTGCTCCCCTCTGCGAAGAGCCTCCTGACAGCCGAGACCAGATGCTGGTGGTCCTGTCAGGACCCCGTCTCGCTATTCTCGTCTCCGGTGTGCATGTTAGTGGCCTCAGCCTCAGTAACAGGTGCTCAGGGGACCTGGAGGGCCGCTGAGGGCGTGCCCTGGTGGCAGCCTCACCTGCGAGGGCTGGCAGACGATGGTGAGGGGCGCCATCTCCCCCAGGCCCTGGTCCTCGTACGACCGCCTGTCCAATATGCCGTCACCGAATGGGAGCGCGTTGGAAGACGATGCATTTAAGATGGAGTAAGAACTGCAGAGGAAGATAAGGAAGGTCACTGCGTCCGCTGGGAGTCCTCAGCCCGGACTGGCAGCAAACGCTCTGTGGACAGGCCCGGGTTGGGAAAGCTCAGCGGGGGGGCCCCCTTCCTGGGACGTGCATCTTGCTTCATGCTGACGTCAGCTGCTAATTCATTAGGGGCAGATGGCTTCTCTGTTTGGAATAGACGAACTCACCCCCTGGGCAAGACAGGCCTGCATTCTGTGCTAAGACGCCATAGGCATGGTCTACACTGAAGTCATGGAAAGAATAATGAGGTGTCAATTTTGTACCATTGTTTCCACCTATTTTTCAGGCTCAAAAGAAATAAATAATTCCTGTTGCCTTTCATCTTTTCTGTGGTGATTTTCATCCCGACCCACACATTCCAGGGAGTATTTCTACTGTCTCCCCCACTTTGCCTGTGGCTCCTCACGGTTGAGAAAACCTCATGGCCACTTTCCCCTCTCCTACCCCCGCCCCCTTCTACCTCCCTGGCCCCAAGCCCCTCCTTCCTCTCAGAAACACCTCCAACAAGATCATCACCCACAGGGCATTTCCGCCCAGATGCTGGGCCTCCAGCGGAGCTCCCCTTCCTGGTGACACCAGAACTGCAGGAGCCCAAAGAGGCCTCGCTAAACGGAGGCAGCGACTCACATCAGGTTGAAATGATTGGATTAGTAAGACCTCCAAAAAGCCTTGTTTAATAAACACTGCGATTTAAGCATGGCCGTAAGGCAAATCCGGTGACCATCTCCGTCAGCATCCTGGGCAGTATCAAGGGAGAACATTTAAGTGTTAGATTTCTCGCTTCTTTAGAACGAGGGCAGCCACAGGCCCCGTCAGCCCTGCGCAGTCCTGGTTTCTATCTGCTGACCCAGCAATCTGTGCAGTGTAACATCCGCTCTGGATTGTGTATTTTTAACACAGTATTATTCTTAGAATTTTAACTTAAAAAAAACTTATTATAGTTAACAATATAATAAAGCTAACTGGTTGTTAGTAAAAATTCTTTCTAAAAAGTCTATGGCCATAGGTTTGGCTCAGTGGGTAGAGCATGGGCCTGCGGACTGAAGTCCCAGGTTCGATTCCAATCAAGGGCATGTTCTCTGGGCTGCAGGCTCAATTCCTGGCTCTGATTGGGGAGCCGGCATGAGGCAACCAATTGATGTGTCTCTCCCACATTGATGTTTCTCTCTCTCTGTCTCTCCCCCTCCTTTCCACTCTCTCTAGAAAACAATGGAAAAATATCGTCAGGTAAGGATTAAACAAAACAAAACAAAAAACCTGATTTTAGTAATTTTAGCACCTTTTCACTCTCCAAGGCGCCCCTTTCTTCACCTGTAAACAGACTCACCCTCTTTATACAAAAGGTCACCCACGCTCACACCAGAAGAGCAGTGTTTCAGCCCTTGCGCACGTCCTGGTCACCAGGGGAGGTTTAACACTCCGCATAGATCGGGACTCACAGTGTGAGGTGGATCCCGTGTAACAAAGCTGCCTCAGCAAGTGTGATGTGTGGCCAAATGAGACCTATTTTGGTAAAATTTAAGCAATTGTAGACCAAGGAAATCTTGTGCGGTTCACACAGTCTAATGGACGGTTATTCTCTTTTGTTTTAAACCGAGACCTCCCAACATCTCAGAGCTAAAGAAAATCCAGTTTCACTCTCTGATTCCTCAAGCCTGTAGGGCCCAATATGCGTGGGTGGAACCTCGGCCCCACTTGCCCTGCCCCTTCACTGCTTCCTCAGCTGCTGGAGGCCGGAGAGCCCCTCCCGCAGGCAGCTCCAGGAGCGCGCCCGCCCCTTTCCCCTCTGGGATGAGGCCTGCGCTCCCTCCAGCAGTGGGGGTGTCAGTTCCAGCAAGACCACAGGCAGTACCTTCTGCTGAGAGCAGGGAGGGGAGCTGAGCTCACACCCAGCGCATCTTCCCAAGCGCCAGGCCTGAGGTTAAGCCCAGGAGGACCACCAGCCACCCCAATTCTCAGCTCTCCCATCCCCACGGCAGCTCTTCCCTGGGAGCCTGGAGCGGCAGGCTTTCTTCCAGGGCCTCCGTCTACAGTGGCTGCTGCCCTGCGTGTCCAGGTCAAGCCCAGGCCCCCCCTCCCGGAAGTCTGCGGGCACAGGCCTCGGCGGCTCACCTGTGGAACACCCAGGTGCTGCACTCATCGGCCTTGGTGATGTAGTTCTCGGGCAGGAGCCCGGAGCCGCCGGTGGTCAGGGAGGTGCCGTAGACCCAGCCCTCGCTGGTGCTGGCCTGCTCCACGGGAGACATGAAGATGAAGTCCCCCGGGACCAGCTCCAGCTCATCGTCATTCTGGGGGGTGTAGGGGTAGATCACCTGCAAGGTCTGGAGAAGAGAGGGCAGTGAGGCCCCGCCTTGCCCGCCGGGCGGCCGGGTCCTGCGTGAACACGTGCAGGGGGCTCAGCGGGTGCACGGCCTCAGAGCAGAGCCCCTCGGCAGGGACAGGACAAATGAGCTTTAACAAATAAGAGACAAAGAGGCCACGTTATTTTTAGAAACTAATTCATTTGAGCGTCTCTTCCCTAAGTGCCAACCGAGCCCAATGTGGGTCAGGCAGGCGACCGAGGACAGTGCTGACTAGAGGTGCCCTTGGAAGATGCCGTCGCCTCCCCGCTCTCCAAGGCGGCTTCTCGGAAAGCAGGCGGCCGGCCGGCCACCCAGCACTGCCCTGTGCAGGGGAGGCCGCTGCTCAGGAGACGCCGAAGTCGCGAGTCGGGTCCAGCCCAGGCTCCTTGGAAAGGCTAGGGCAGCCGCTGGCATCGGGAGCTGCGTCCTGGCACTGCCGCCCCGCGCCCCGGCCCGGCCCCGGCGGCGTCTGGGTAGCTGTTCCCAACGCTCCAAATCGATGATGAGGTTGTGTGGTCTAGACCCTGAGGTTCTAACAATTTTTCATATTTTACAAAATCTAAAAGAAATGTTAAAACACTATATAAACTTTAAGAAGTCAGTTCTGCTGCTGTTAAAAAAACTAGGAAACACATGTAAGTGCTGTTAATAAATGGAGTTAAACTGGAGGGCTACTGTTTCATCAAACCATGTGGTCTGTTTTTGGATGGATTGCCCGTCTTCATTGTCGAAATCCCTGAATTCTGGTTTCAGCTCTGGCCCTAAATTATTCAGCTTCAGACCTAACCTCTGTGACTCAGCTTCTCCTTCAGGGATAAGGACAGTGTTACTCTTCAGAGACGGCCGGGCCTGAGCGCAGTGCAGATTCCCTCAAACGGTGGCGCCTGGGTGGTCGACGCCCCCCTGCCCCCTGCCCCAGTGAGCAGCAAGGCTCCTGCTTTGCCTGCTCCCTTCCAGGCCGCTCATGTCAGGAGCCACAGGGAAGCATTACCTCATGGTTAGCGAATCGGATGTCCCGAGAGAATATGGCTGCCAGCCAGTCGCACCCCAGCTTGACATCGATGCTCTGGGCCAGCTTCTCCAGGGTGGGCAGGTGGCTGGCTTGGAAGTGGTAAGCCAGGGTCACGTGCAGCTGCTTCTTATGAGGCTCCACATGCACTTCTGGAAAAGGAGGAGCAGGTGCTGTTAGGCTCACACTGCTAGCAGCGGTGGGGGCTGAGGGAGAGCCCAGAATCCTGCTTCCCACACCCAGCGCCCAGCGGAGGGAGCCTGCTGTCAGACAGCCGCGTCTCCCTCCCTGCAGCCGCGTGGGGCACAGACCCGGACCCGCAGCCTGAGAGGGAAGAGCAATCCTTCTGGTTGCTCCCCTCACGACAACCCCGACAACCCCGGCAGGAGCAGCCCCACCACTCAGATGAGGAAACAGCCCTAAGGGGATGAACTAATTCACGCAGAAATAAAGAGCAGATGTCATCATGCGACTCTCAAAGCTATGTTGCCTTTGTTTTGGTGAAATCAAGTCTCTTAGCTTCTGAGTGGCTCTGATGGAGAAATGAAGAAAAACTAATATTTTCAAAGTTTAAAACAGGGATTCTCAACAGCATTTGGGTGAAATAACTCTGTTTGGGCGCTGCCCTGGGCATAGAGGCCCCGCCTCCTGGAGGCCACAGCAGCACCCAGAGTGTGACCACCGGGTGTGACCACCGGGTGTGACCACCGGGTGTGACCACCGGGTGTGACCACCGGGTGTGACCACCGGACCTGGTTGGAACCCCGGCTGGCGTAACGCAAACAGACTGCTCCTCTAAGACACCCCAGAGGCAAGCAAAGCCAGCCGCCGCCTCCAGGGCCCGCTCTCCTTCCTCGTTTGTGACTCTCTCAATGGGCAGCGCAGCTCCTGTCCATCTCGTTTGTGTCTCTCTCAATCAACCAGAGGGGTTTAGGGCAGCGGTGAAGAAGCCGCAACCAGAGGGGTTTAGGGCAGCGGTTGGGACTGGCGGCCCGTGAGGTCCGAAAGGCTGGCGACTGCTGCTTAGGGAGTTGAGAAAACAAGAGGCTCGCTCAGACCACACAGAGATGGCAGCGGGAGCTGGGTCCTTGGGTTTTGAGCGCTTTCTCTGCGATACTACACTGCTTCTCTTTGTTGTGAGCCTGGAAGGCCAGGGCTGTCTTGTTCACGCTGGGTCCCAGTGCTCAGCACATGCCAGGTGTCAGTCCTTGTTAAATGAACAAAGACACATGAATCGATCTCCCTGTGGGGCAACCCTAAATCTACCTGCTAAAGGAATCCGGGGGTCCCCCAAACTCTAGAACACCAAGGCGAAGCCCTGATGGCCGGCTTTTAGGTTGCAAGGAGCTGGGCCAGCTACACAGCAGGGTACGCAGTTCTGTAAACCACCAGCAGGGGGCGGCGCGAGGGCCCAGAAACCGCCCGTTGGCTCGGGGAGGGGAGTGGGCAGCAGGGGAGGGCGGCTTGGAGAGGAAGGGCTCTCTCCCCCTCCCGCCAGGAAAGCAGGCCAGGCCCTGGCGAGACCACTTTGCTCCTGTGTGAGGCACCTGGGTTTTGTGGCCACAACATGAGTTTGGTTTCTGTGGGGGTTTCCGTGGTGCTGTGGGGTGAACAGGAGCCATTTCCCTAAGAAAACATTTCTCTGAATGTTCAGGCCCTGTGACAGGACAGGCGCCCCAAGTCAGGAAGCAGACACTCGTCCAGAAGCAGGGGGCTTGGGGGGTGGCTGCAGGCCCCACCTGGGAGAGGGATCTTCCAGGCTGGACCCCAGGGAGCCCTCCCGGCTCTGAGGGTTGGGCCCTCCGCACACTCCGGAGCCCAGCCCTGCTCAGGCCTTTCCAGTGAAGAGGTGCCAGCACAGTCCCAGCTGGGCTGGGAAGACACAGCCTCCACCCCAGGTGGCCCGGCCCTGCCCTCCACACGAGGTGGTGCAGGCAGCTTGGGCCCCTCTGGCCCTGCACCCATCCCTCTGGCCAGCTGTGCACTCAGCCCTCCGCGGGTGGGTGGCCCCCATGGGCGGGTGGCCTCCATAGGTGGGTAGCCTCCATAGGCGGGTGGCCCCCATGGGCGGATGGCCTCCGTGGCCCTCTCTGCTGGGGTTGGGGCACCCGCCCTGCAGGGATCAACATCGCCCTGTGAGCTCCTTCCTGCTGCGCGGGGGAGCCACCCTCCAGGGATGGCCTCTCTTCTGGGCTCTGCCAGCCCCTGTGCTCAGCCAGGCTCCGAGCTCCGCCAGGAGGAACCATGTCTGACTGTCGCATTCGTGGCGGGGAACACAGCTTCCCACTGAGCCCCTGCCGACTGACTCCGCTGTCTGGGCGCCCAGACACTGCCTCACCTCACTGTCTGTCTGTCCTGCAGCTCGGGGAGCTCGTCCGCACCTGTGGTCAGAGAGGAGGACCCCCCCCATGCCTGTCGCCTGTCACCATGCATCCTCAGCATCCCTTCAGCTAACTTCTTTGGTGGGAAACTGCAGCAGCTTTAAGCTAAGAGCTGCCACGAGAGAGCAGGAGATGTGGAAGGGGGACAGCTGGACGGCTTTTGAGGCCTAGGGGCTGCCTAATGGATTCCTAGGTCGAGGGCGGGGCTCAGTGGGGATGACTGTTCTTGACTCTGAGAGGCTCCACTCTCCTCTGTGCTGTGCTCCCCTGGGCCTGGACTGACCGCCCAGGTGGTGCCTGTGTGGGAGGGGGTGGGGGGAAGGAGGAAGGTTCCTAACGCTGAGGTGGCTCATGGGGAGCAGGTGTCTGTTCCTTCCGCTTGATGTCGGGAGTAGCACTGGGCATTCTCTCGGGAGAGTTAGCAGAACAGCACATGGTGTGGGTGCTCCTGGGAGGGGGTGTGCTCCTGTCCTGCTCGGCCCCTTCCCGCAGCCACCTCCCCACTCCATCCCACTTGTCACAGCATCCCCGTCTCCCCCACTCTGAGGGCGCCCGCCTGGCCAGCAGGGCTCACCGGTTTTGGATGCAGCTTCCGCGGCAAAGTCGGCGGCGAACTTCTTGAGGACGTCGGCGCTGGCCTCCTCCACGAAGAGCCCGATGAAGTTGGAGGAGGTGTAGAGCTCCAGGGGCAGCGGCACCGAGAACTTGCCCCTCCAGCGGCTGACGGTGGCCTGCAGGACCTCCCCCAGGGCGTCTGCCTTGCTGTCCTCACACTGGAAGGGAAGCGGGGGGGCTGCACTCGGGGGCCAGGGGAGCTCGGCTCCGTGGTCCTCAGGGCACCCTCCGCCCAGCTGAGGCTGTGACACCACCACACACACACATGCACGCACATGTGCACACACATGCACACATGCGCACACACACACACCTTGTTTGTGAGGAGGGGAACTGCACACTCCCAATGACCTGGAACTGGATCACACAGCTCTTACACCTGTGACTCCAGGTCCCGCCAGGTCCCGGCAGGGCTGGGGGCTGCCGCTCACCATGAAGAACTGGCAGAGGGTGATGTGGGGGAAGATGTTGTGCGCCTTGTTCTTCCCGCAGATCTGCTTCGACTGCTGCCAGAAGTCGGAGAGCTTCTGGGCCAAGGGGCCGGTGGGGCGCAGGTACAGCACGTACTCCCGGGGCAGCGGGTCGTCCAGGAAGGGGTCGCCCACGTGGGAGAAGAGCCTGCGGAGAGAGCGGGCATCCTTGCTGGAGAATGGGGGGGCGGGGGGGGGGACCAGACACTCCGCAGGGGGGAAGGGCTTTCCCTCTGTGCTAAGGATCCACCCCTCGCAGCTCACACTTCACAGCCGACCTCAGCCGCAGCCTCGCCTGTGGGTGCCTCTTTGCCCACGGCCCCTCGGAAACCTGAAGCCCTCTCCAGGCGGCATTCGCAGGCGAACCCCAACCCTTTCCCAACCCCACGGCCATTCAACGGGGTTCCTTCAGCTCCGTCAGTGATTAAACCGGTGCCTCCCAAAGACAAGGGACGCTCGGAGCCGCCCTGGGCTCTGCCCTGGGCGGTGGCTTCCTGAAAGGTGGGTAGGTTTTTCCCTCAATCGACTTGCGCAGCCTGCACACAGCTTCTTTACATCTGTGGTGGCTGGAGGGCGGCAGCTATGGGCCAGGGCTCTCTTAGAAGCACTGCTGAGGAGAAGCACGCCCTGGGCAGCGGGAGGAGGCAATTGGCGGGATGAACGGTCCAGTCACCCGCTCTCCCTCGCCCCACCCCCCAGGTTCACAACCTTGCTCATCCGCATATATTTAGAGCCGATCAGTGTCATTTTCTCATTTAGTTATTTTATACCAACCAGTCACACGCGGCTTGAACACTTCTTCCTCCGGTGGACGCCAAAGCTTTTTGTCTAGAAGAAAAAAATCAAATTTCTGTTGTTAGTGTTTTTAGCCTCTGGTCAACTGCTCATTGTGGTGGCAGGAGGTGATGTGAAGTAAGGGACTAAAGCCTCTCCGAGGTGGGCAGACACTGGCAGCAGGCTCCCCAAGGGCCACAGCCAGGCGCTGGGACACAGCATGGGCGCTGACCTCCGCGTGGCCAGCACGGGCCTGCAGGCAGCCTGAGCCGGCTGGATGGTCAGCAGGCTCCACACTGGAGTTTTAGTTCTGCTTCCCTGAAGGTTGTCATGTCGTGGGTTTTCCTCCCTCATTCTCATGCACTCACTCTCACTGCCCTAGATCCCTTGCAAAATGTTGTTTACTCACAGCCCTTGGCAGAGCGTACGAGAAAGTGGGCCAAATGCCCACCAAGGACAGTTATTTGGTTTAATTCAATGCCTCCTCCCGCCCACCTCCAGCCACCACCACCAGCCTCAGGTGGACCCGTGATCTCCAACCAGTTCACAGACACCTTTGGGCTCCAGTGTCCAGAGCAGCGCTGCTGACCCCCCACTGCTGGAGAGAGGAGGATGGCTGTGGAGCGAGGCCCTTGCGCACCAGCACACAGCACAGTAGACGCTGCTGAAGTTTCCGTCTGGTTTCCAAGAGCCGAGAGTTCTGGGTTTGTGCCCAGCTCTGCTATTCACCCACCCATTCGTGCACGCATGCTTACGACGCCCATTCAAGAAATCCTTAGTGAATTGCTGTTATCTCATCAACACTGTTCTAGGCTCTAGGAATACAGCGAAACACACTTATGTGGCTCCTGCCCTCATGGAGATCTCAGCTGAGCAGGCATGAAAACATTCATCTGTACAGGTAATTATTAATTACTACTGTGGTCGGGGCAGTGAAGGAAAGTAGGGGAACATAACATAGGACAGGGAGACCAACCCAGGCGGAACGGTCAGGGGGTCAGGGAAGGCTTCAGAGAAGAGGCGACACCTTAAGTGAGACCTGAAGAATGCGGACGGACCCCTCTGGGTAGGGATGGGGGTTCGCACGGGGCTGTGGTAGCGAAGGACACCAGTGCATCGACTCTTTAGTCAAGTGCTTGACCGGTGCCTGACACATGGGAGATGCCAATGAACACTCACTCCCATCCTTTACCCGACACGGATTCCGGGTCCTTGGGAGAGAGGAGCGAGGGGACGGAATGTCTCCTTTTCCCAGTTGGCTGCTGAACCCAACTCCTCTTTCCTTTTCGTGGCCCCTCTATGAGCAATGAGAAGGGCCGGTGCTGTGAGAATCATGGGAGATCCGACTGGCAGGGACCTCAGAGATCACCTGAGACCTGAGTTCTTCCCTCCACACAGGGAAGCTGGGGAGGAAGGACAGCGACTTGCTGAAGGCAGCCTGGCGAAGGGGACGCCAGTGCAGGCCAGGCTCCTGCTCTGCTCCACAGGCCAAAGGCAAGCGAAATGCCTGCCTTTCCTGCATGAAAACCTGAGCACAGATACCAAGTGAACAGGGTGAAGAGACTGGCACAGCTAAGGAGAACAGCTCCTAGAAGACATGCCTCCTTTCAGTAAATAAGTTATGAAAAAGCAGGGCCAGTGCTCTGGGCCCCTCAGAATTTCTCAGGACAGAAGCTGCTGAGGAAAAGACTGGAAAACAAGTTCCCCTCCTCCCCCTGCCCCATGCCCACACCTGGGTAAGGGCTTCGTGCTGGCCTGTTGCCAGCCGTTTCCTTTACTGTTTACTAGGCCATCAGAGAACATACCTCTTGCCTTTTTTTGGATCCCACAGAAGAATGCAAATCAGTCTCTTAGAAGTTAGAATCTACTAGGAATTAAATTAATCAAAAACACCTATTGTTTCAAAAACAATTGAGAAAAGGAAAACTCATTTGTGGTACAATGTGCTATTTATATAAAAGATCCAATTTTTTTCTATGCCCTTCCCCTGGTGAAATATACCTTACTGAAATTTGCTTTTCTTTAAGCACTAGGAGAATTCTCTGGAAATGAAAGGTCTAATTAAGTCATAGTCTCCGTGACTCAAAAAACAAATTTTGGAGGGGGTTAAAAACTATAATTGAGACAGACAATAAAGGGTTTGGGTGATAAGGCGATGATAAAAGTTTATGGGGATCCAAATTCTTCTTTGTGAAGAAGACACGTCTGAAAAGTCTTATGGGAATAACACCTCTCCTTCTGAAACTACTCAAAGAAACTCAAGAGGAGCGAAGCCTCCAGGCTGGTTTTAGGTTCATTACGAGGCCAGCATTATTCTGAGTAAAAACATGACAAAGACATTACAAACGTAGAAAATTATAGGTCAATACCCTGATGAACACAGCTGCAAAAATTCTCAACAAAATATTAGCAAGCTGAACTCAGCAATACATTAAAGAGATCACATACCATGATCAAGTGGATTTATTCCTGGGTGAAAGGTTGGTACAATATCTGCAAATTAATTAATTTGATATACCACATAAACAAAAGAAAGAATAAAAATCATACAATCATATTAATAGATGCAGAAAATCCAGCACCCATCTATCTATAGATATAAAAGCCTAATATGCAAAGTGAGTTCGACTGGGAGACAGGGAGTTCAATCACTCACTATGATGTGCGCTGACCACCAGGGGGCGGCGCGGACCAAAGGAAGGCCCAGCCGGCAGCCGGCAGCCGGCAGCTGCTAGGGACCCTACCCGTGCATGAATTTCGTGCACTGGGCCTCTTGCGCACTGACCACCAGGGGGCAGATACTCAATGCAGGCGCTGCCCCCTGGTGATCAGTGTGCTCCCACAAGGGGAGCGCCGCTCAGCCAGAAGCCAGGCTCACAGCTGGAGAGTGCAGTGGCGGTGGCGGGGAGCTGCCTCCACGGCAGCACTAAGGAGCAGTGAGCTGAGCGGTAAGGAGCAGCAAACAGGCAGGCAGTAAGGAGTGAGGGGTCCCGGACTGCAAGAGGAATGTCCGACTGCCAGCTTAGGCCCAATCCCCCAAGGATTGCACAATTTCGTGCACCGGGCCTCTAGTTATAATAAAAACTCTCAGCAAAGTGGGAATAGAGGAAACATACCTTAACATAACAAAGGCCATATATGACAAATCTACAACTACATCATACTCAACAGGGAAAAGCTTAAAGTGGTTTCCTTAAAATTGGGAACAAGACAGGAATGTCCACTTTCACCACTCATATTAAATTGAGTATTAGAAGTGCTAGCCATAGCAATCAGATAAGAAACACAAATAAAAAGCATCCAAATTGGAAAGGAAGAAGCAAAACTGTCATTATTTGCAGATGACATGATCCTTTGTAAAGAGAACCCTAAAGATTCCACCAAAAATCCAATAGAACTGATAAATGAATTTATTAATTAGTGGGATACAAAATAAATATTCAGAAATTGGTTGTATATTATACACCAATGATGAAATATCAGAAAGAGATACTAAGAAAACATCCCATTTTCAATTGCCTCAAAAAACACCCACAACAACCTAGGAATAAATGTAACCAAGGAGGCAAAAGACATGCACTCAGAAAACTGTAAGACACTAAAAAATAAATTGAAGAAGATACAAGTAAATGGAAGCATATACTGTGTTTATGGACAGGAAGAATTAACATCAGTAAAATATCTATACTACCCAAAGCAATGTGCAGATTCAATGCAATCTATAAAAATACCAATAGCGTTTTTCACAGAACAAAAAATCCAAAAATTTATATGGAACCACAAAGACCCTAAAGAGCCATAGCAATCTCAAGAAAGAAGAACAAAGTTGAATAACAAACTATACTATAAGCTCTGATATCAAACTATACTATAAGCTCTAGTATTCAGAATAGTGTGGTACAGGCATAAAAACTGACACATCAATGGAACAGAAGAGAGAGCCAGAAAGAAATCCACACCTACCTTGACAATTAAAATCTTACCAAAAAAAAAAGGCAAGAATACAAGAACAAACTCAATATGGATTAAAGACTTAAAAGACCCAAAACCATAAAACCCTTAAAAGAAGACATAGGCAATAAACTCTGACATTTCGCTCTAGCTGGCTTGGCTCAGTGGATAGAGCATCAGCCTGCAGACTGAAGGGTCCCAGGTTCGATTCCGGCCAAGGGCACATGCCTGGGTTGCAGGCTCAATCCCCAGTAGGGGGTGTGCAGGAGGCAGCTGATCAATGATTCTCTCTCATCATTGATGTTTCTCTCTCTCTCTCCTTCTTCCTTCCTATCTGAAATCAATAAAGAAATATATTTAAAAAAAAAACAACCTCTGACATTTCTCTTAGCAATATTTTTTTCTGAAATATCTCTTAGAGTGAGGGAAACAAAAAAAAATGAACTAATGGGACTGCATCTAACTAAAAAGTTTTTGCACAGCAAAGGAAACCATCAATGAAATGAAAAGACAACCTAGTGAATAAAATAAGATATCTGCCAGTGATACATCAGATAAGGGATCAATAACCAAGATTCATATAGAACTTAACACCCCTCCTGAAAATCCAATTAAAATATGGGCAGAAGACCTAAATAGACACTTCTCCAAAGAGGACATAATATGGCCTGTAGACATAGGAAAAAATGCTCAAAGTCACTAATCACCAGAGAGATGCAAATTAAGACCCCACTGAGATATCACCTCACACCTGCCAGATGACTATCATCAATAAATCAACAAACAAGTGTTGGTGAGATGTGGAGAAAAGGGAGCCCTCAAGCACTGTTGGTGGAAATACAGACTGGTGCAGCCACTGTGGGAAACAGTATGGAGGCTCCTAAAACATAAAACATGGAAATGCCTTATGACTGGGTATATGTCCAAAGAAATCCAAAACATTAATTTGAAAAAATATATGCACCCCATGCTCATTGCAGTGTTATTTACAATAACCAAGATATGGAAGCAACTTAAGTGTATATCAACAGATGACTGGATAAAGACATTTATATATATACTAGAGGCCCGGTGCACAAAAATTTGTGCACTCGGGGGGGGGGGGAGGGGGGTCCCTCAGCCTGGCCTGTGCCCTCTCGCAGTCTGGGACCCCTCGGGAGATAACGACCTGCTGGCTTAGGCCTGCTCCTGGGTGACAAGGGCAGGCCCAATCCCTAGGTGCAGCCCCTGGTCTGGCTCAGAGCAGGGCTGATTGGGGAGTTGGGGCGCCGCCCCCTGTCATGCACAGAGCAGGGCGGATTGGGAGGTTGCGATGCCACCCTCAGTCACACTCAGGGTAGGGCCGATTGGGGGGTTGGGGCACCGCCCCCTGTCACACTCAAGGCAGGGTCGATGGGGAGGTT